TATATATTTCAATCGACATAATTAGGAGGCACGGTAGTCAAGTGGTAGGACGCCGGGCTCGTGACCGAAGGGTTGCAGGTTCGAGGCACGGCACTGGGTTGTATCTTTGAGCAAGATATTTTACTCCGCTTGTTCTAGTCTACTCAACTGTAAATGAGTACGTGGTTGGGCAGTGCTAGAATTGTAGAATGCTAGCTGTGAGCACCGAAATGGCAGCACTGGCCGTATGCTCCCAAGGGAGTTAAGAACGATATTGGCTGGTTGCAAAGGCCCTATAACCACGGATAATAATTTGTGACCTCCGAACTAGGTTGTGATAAAGCGGTATATAAGAACCTCGAATTCTTCTTCTTCTTCTTATTATAATTTACTAGCTAACCGGTAATAAGATTTAGATATATATATATATATTAAATGCCGCCGTGACTATTCTCCATAATTATGTTAATTGAAGATTTAAAAGACACTGTGGTTAGGTATACATGTAGCAAACACTAGTGAAAGCAAGCGCTTTCTTTTATAAAAGCACTGGATAAAGTCTTGAGTGTAATCAGCCCAACAGAACTCAAAACATAAGTAGTGCATTTTATAAACTGATTTTCTATTCATATAGTAACAGTGATAGAAACCTAACCCCCGGGCCTGGAAAGTTATCCCAAGCAGGCACTTTCTTTCAGGAAGCACTGGATAAAGTCAGAGTGTAATCAGCCCAAGAGAAATCAAGATATTGTGCATTAGTGCATTAAACAAATTTTCTATTTATAGTGACCCATTGACCTTTGACCACTGGACCTGAAAAGTAATCCTAAGCAGGCACTTTCTTCCAGGAAGGACTAGATAAAATCTGAGTGTAATCAGTCCAACAGAATTCAAAATACAGTGCACAAACTGATGTTTTATTTATAGTAAGTGACCTTGACCTTTGATATCTAAGGCTGAAAAGCTATCCAAAGGCTGAAGCAAACATTTTATTACACTGGATAAAGTCTGAGTGCATACGGCCCAAAAGAGCTCCAAATATTGTGCATGAAGTGTTTTTCTATTTATAGTAACATTAACCTTGAACTTTGACATCGATGCATCAAAAGATACAATTTGTAACCTAAGCAAATACTTTCTAAAGTAACAATGACCTTAACCTTTGACCACAAAAGCGCCAAAGCAGGCACTTTCTCCGAGGTAGCACTTGATAAAGCCTGTGTGTAATTATCCCAACAGAATTGGAAATATTGTACCTAAACTAATTTTCTATTCGTGGTTACAGTGACCTTGACTTTTGACCGCCGGGCCTGAAAAGCTGTTCAAAGCAAGCATTTCCTTTAAAAAAATCACTGGATAAAGTCTAAAAGCAATCCAGCCAACAGTACTGAAGATATTGTGCAGAAATTAAACAAGAAACGCAATGGGCCTGTACCTCTCACTTGCTTCCAATGAGAAGTCGTTTAAAGGTTTAAGCACATTTGACCCCTGTGATGTTGAATGTAGATCAATGCCATTCATTTGAACACACTTGGTAGCCCTTCATTCCAGCATGCTATATGCCCAATATCAGGTCTCTGGGCCTCTTGGTTATTGAGAAGAAATTGTTTAAAAATGTTAGCACATTTGACTCATGTGACCTTGAAAGTCGGTCAATGTCATTCATTTGAACAAATTCCGTAGTCTCTCATCCAGGCATAATATAGGCTCAATATCAGGGTCCTCTTAGTTATTGGGAAGTTGTTTTAAGATTTAAGCACTTTTGACCTCTGTGACCTTGACAGGCAGGCAGGATAATTCATTTGAACATGCTACCGGCACAATATCAGGTCTCTGGGCCCCTTGGTTATTGAAAAAAAGTCCTTTAAAGGTTTTAACCTATTTTACCAATGTGACCTTGAAAGTAAGTCAAGCCTGCATGCTACAGGCCCAATATCAGGTCTCTGGGGCCTCTTGGTTATTGAAAAGAAATCATGTAAACATTTTACCACATGTAACCCTTGTGACCTGGAAAAGTCGGACAAGGTCACTCATTTGAACAAACGTGATAGCCCTTCATCCCAGCACGCTACAGGCCCAATAGCAGGTTTCTGGGCCTCTAGGTTATTGAGAAGAAGATGTTTAAAGGGAAAAGTTGATGTCTGAGGGCCGGACGATGGCCAGACGACGGACACCGCACCAGGGCAAAAGCTCACTTGTCCTTGGCAGGGGAGCTAAAACAGATATGACAGACAGACGGAAAACCTGATTACTAAAGATGTGCAGGGGTCCTAACAACAAATTGTGTAATTGAATTGGAGAATCCCCCTTTGGGACCCCACCCCTCTCCCTAAGGAGCCAGAGTATTATGAGAGAGACCCTCTGTTAAACGGCATTCAGTCTTCTTAACCAAGTAATGCTCCAGACCATTGGTTTGAAAACATCATCAAGCCATACAGAAGGACTTAAAAGGATGTACTCTATTAGGTGATTTATGTCCTCGCAACAGCCAGGGTCATATGAGGACGGGTGTCTGCGAGACACCTATAGAAGAAAACTACAGTTCGAAAGAAGTGGATGTGTTGGCGACACCCACACAATTGAAGGGTGTAATTTTGAAATATCATGGTCACCATATGAAAAGCATTATGCTTTTAGTTGCTTGTTAGTTGGTTGTGGAGCTTAACGTATACACAACATCTGAGGTCATATGTGGATGGTATCATGAGCGCTTGATACGTATTGTGTGTACCTGTGTGTTGCCTCAAGCAATAAATAGAATTTGACATGAGGATCGAACTCAAAACTGTAATCCATCATTCAAGAAAAAGTCAAGCATCAAGTTACGTATTGATGTGGCAAGTGGTCGCGAACAAAAATACAGTTAAATTAGGAATTTCCTATGTGTAAAGGGTTATAACTCCCGAGAAAATAGAACATTGACACTGGATTCTCACTCAAACTATAATCCATTATACATGTGTATTAAGTTACAAATAATATGGAAAACAGTTAATTATGAGAATTTCTTATGTGTAAAGGGTTATAACTTAGAACATTGACACTGGATTCTCACTCAAACTGTAATCCATTATACATGTGTATTAAGTTACAAATAATATGGAAAACAGTTAATTATGAGAATTTCTTATGTGAAAAAGGGCCATAATTCCAGTCAAAAATGGAATATTAATACATGCTTCACACTCTGTAATACATTATGATAAAGTCACAAACAAAGATTAAAATTGATATGGCAAGCGGTAGCGAAAATAAGTCCCAATTTTTTTTAATTTTGATTATTTCCTATGTGCAAAGGGCCATAACTCCAGTCAAAAATGGAATATTAACACAGGGTTCGAACTCAAACTGTAATCCATTATGAAAAAGCCACATATTAAGTAACAAATTGATGTTGCAAGAGGTAGCGAAAAAAAGTACGGGAAAACAATTAATTATGAGATTTCTTATTTGCGAAGGGCCATAACTCAAGCTACAAATGAAATATTGACGCAGGGTTTGGACTCTTACTGTAATCCATTATGATAAAGCCACATACTAAGTGGCAAGCGGTAACGAACAAAGTATGGCAAACTGTTAATTATGAGAAATTCCAATGTGCAAAGGGCCATACATGTAACTCCAGCAAAAAAAAAAAAAAAATATTGGCACGTGGTTCGAACTGGTTCTGTAATCTATTATGATTAAGGTTCAACAAGCCCCCTAAAAGAGGTAATAGTCACCCTAAATGTCAACCCCATGGCAAGTCATATTCAAATATTCTTATCACAAATCGGAATATATATATGTAATTTAAATACATTGAACTTGTACATGAGCTATTAAAAAGTATACAAGCAGGTCAACGAAGTCAAAAATACGGCATTAAGGCTGATGTAATGATAAAAGTTGCTCACCAGATTTATAACATGTCCTAAGTGACCCAACTGAATGTTTCGAAATTACATGTTATTTGAAGATCATTTATATACCTAGGTCAAGCGGGGCTTTATTTCTCTTTAACTATGTGTGGAGAGGCATACCGGCCTTACAAGTAGATGATTGTTGCTATGGGAATGTACAAAAATCATAGTAAAACGTCAGAATAACATATTTTAACGGTATATATGTGTATAACCATAGACATTTGACCATAAATACTACTTAAACTTCATATAAAATGTCCTTCTTTAACATTCAATATTGTAATAAAAGAGGTAGACTTATTGTAAACATTATTGTACATTTCAGCTTCAATGTTTATTACATGTCTAGCGCATTCATATAACCACATAATGTTATTAAATGGCACATCATCTCAAGTTCATTTATCGATCAAGGTTACTTAGCCATTGTTTTCTTATTTAAAATTTGCTAAAATGTATTACCAGGAGATTTTATTACGATTTTAGTGAGTAGGGTTGCAAAAGAGTTTGACATGGTATAAGTCCGGTGAACTATTTGTATAAAGACATCAGCCTTAATGCCTTTTTTTGACTACGTTAACCTGGCTATGTATTTTTTGTATGGCCAAAGTACAAGTTCAATATATATAAATAACATATGTGAGTTCCTATTTGTAGTTGAGGTCTTTGAATATGACTTACCAGGGGGTTGGAATTTTAGTTGACTACATCATCTTTTAGGGGGCTTGTTGAACCTTAAGCCACATACAAAGTTACAAATTGATATGGTAAATGGTGGGGACAAAAGTCTGGAAGACTTAAATGTCACTGCCACCGTCAATGACAACGTTAGTATCTTTAATGAACCTCTGAACCTTGTCCAGAACTCTTGCATTCATATTGATACCAAGTCTTTTACATCCATAAAGAATATATAGTCTACATGTCTCATGTTTAAACCACAAATGTCACCTATATACCATTCTGATAATAGATCTAATGTATGATTTACGTATATCTATATATTACACATCTTTTGTATATACATTTAATCTATGTATACCATTTGGTTTTATTCCGTGTTTGGTTAAAATTGTCATTGATTCATTCACTGCATATATTTGTTTGTTCTTTCAGCATCGACAACCGTAGCTGTCTGTGAACTGAAAACAACAACAATCATCTGTCGTCCAGAAAGAATAAACGTGATTAGCGCACGTTACGGACGATTTGACATAGTCACGTGTGAACATCCGGCTATGTCCCAAGTTGGATGTGGTGCTGATGGCGTTTTGGACAACATTCAGGATCTATGTCAAGGTGAAACCTCGTGTGAACTTGCTGCTTCCAACAGTATCTATGGAGACCCGTGTCCAAACACATTTAAATATCTCGAAGTGACCTACAGTTGTTTGCCAGAACGTTAGTATGTAACACATTTTTTTTCTCTGTATTTAAGAAAAAAGCATATACAAATAAATATTATTTACGATGAAACAAGGAGAGATATTTACATTCTTCACTGTCATATTCATCCCCTAATCTTGTTAATATAGAATCTGAAATCAAATCTGACCTTAATAAATTAGAAAAATGGTCGAAAGACTGGCTTATGACTTTTAATCCGACAAAAACAGAAATCATGATAGTGACACTTTCAAATCTACCAATACTAATATTCAAATAACTGAAAATCATAAACACCTTGGCGTTACATTAAGCAGTGATGGGAAATGGACAGAACATATAGATGTTATTATTCGCAAAGCTTCCAAATATATTGCAACGTTAGGAAAACCTAAACTTATATTAAGCAGAAATAATCTTGACAAAATTGATCTGACATATATCCGACCACTTCTTGAATATGCATGTGAGGTATGGGATAATTGTGGGAAAGCTAATTCATTAAATATTGAAAAAATCCAATTAGAAGCTGCACGGATTGTCACAGGATTGCCCATATATACTAAACTGGAGTTACTATTCACCGAAACGGGCTGGACACCATTATGCATTAGAAGAAAGATCCGTAAATTGTCAATGAATTTATGCCACCATTTATTGGAAACATGTCTAGATATAATTAAAGAAATGCACACCAAATAGGAATGCCTAACTATCGATTGCAAATTATGCGAAACTCTTTTTTCCATCAACTATTAAAGCATGGGATGATCTTGATGAACGTATTAAATCATCTGATACCTTAAACATGTTTAAATCGAAAATAAACAAAAGTATCAATAAGAACAAAAATAAACTTAAAAATTTCCTAACTTTTGGAGCACGTAAATCTAACATACTACATTGTCGTTTAAGAAATCGTGCGAGTTCTCTAAACCAGTCCGTTGTCTGTCCTCCCTCTTCTTTTGCAAAGCCCTCATTATGTCTTCTCCGCGTGATCCGGAACGCTGGTCGTAATCAGGCTCTGTGTCACAAAAGAAAAGGTATTTTGGATTTTTTCCTCCGGGGGTATGGGTCCTATTGTTGGAACCCTTCATCGCTCCACGGAGACACCACTGCGCTAAGTCGAATTCGCATTATAATGACTGTGGTAACGTATTTTCAAATAGAATCAAGGTTACTCTTGTGAAACCAATTTCTATTATAAATTCTTACCACAGTCATTAGGTGAGTTCCCTAACAGCCTCCCCTAGTCTCCTAGGCTCTCACTTTTTTGGGCTTTGGATTATGAAGTGGGAAGCATGGCTTCGTGTATGATCACGTGCGTGAATACTGCCGTCTGATTGGTGGGTTTTCCAGGGGTTCCCCATGGGGGGAAATCTTTATTTACGTATGTAAAGAGCCAAGTAAGGTTGGAATATGCATTATAATGACTGTGGTAAGTATTTATAATAGAAATTGGTTTCACAAGAGAAACCTCAAAACAACATCGATTAGCTTCAAGTACATGCATCATTATGCTTTAATTGTTCGTCCTGAAAATCCGTTTTTGCTCCTATTTTGACGTATAACAATTATGAGGTGATCGAGCACGTACGTTCATATGTGATAATAACTTAGAATAAAAGATTTTCAACACATTTATTTAACAACGTTGTCTGAAACAGGGACAACGTTTATGTCACGGCATGTTCTGGAAAAAACCCTAAAAAGAAATATTAAATAATTTACATATAACATGTAAGATCAGTGAGAAGTTGTTAATGTAAGTTATTTTTTCGAATCATGTGACCATTCGTGTACAATAGCATTCTTGTAATTCTACCCACAGTATTATATATCAAATTCAGTTTATCTGAAAGGATTGAATAAGTAAATATTTTATATGAATCCTTTTGGTGCCTCTTTCAAGTCGATAGAGTGTCACAAAAACATGGAGACTCCTTTCACTTTCAGAAGAATACGATGTTTTTACATAATCCCCTATGGTGCCCCTTTGATTTTATGTCAAATTTAAGAAAATCCACTTTTCAAATGCTCCAGGAACCTCGGATATTGCAAATATTCTTAAAACACCCCATAAACTGTGTTTTTCTAAACCGGAAGTTACCGAGCAAATATCGGCAACTTATCTAGATCATGGAGACAGCATCAAAAAATTCGATCGAAAGTGCAGAAAATGTCTATTTGGTCGTTTTCCAGTATTCGATTGCATAGAACAAATAGGCGCCCTCGCTTCAAAAGTTCACTCCAGGAACCTCGAGTTTTTAATGGATCGCGCTAATTAACTTGTAACCCATATTTATACGGTGTGAAGGGAAATTTGACATCCCAGCAAATAATATCCAGATTACTATCCAGCCGATAAACGCAAAAACTCAAAGCCCATAATGTTATCCCGATGGGCCAAATGGCCGCCATTTTATCCAAGATGGCGGATTATGCAAAATAGCAAAGTGACTGTCATTTCTCCATATGTGTGTGGTGGGGGTGGGGTTTATCTCCCATCTGGGGAATCATCACAGACTACGACGGGCTTTGTTTCCACCATTTATTTAAAACAACAGCAACCGTAGCACAAACAAGACGTAACGTAGAAAACACCCTACAATGACACAATAACACACGTATAAGAGACTGACTCAATGTTTCACTGAAATATTACAGTATACACCATACAATGTATTTATAAAGTATAAAACCTATCAAACTCATTATATTTATTGTCTGTAATTATACGGTAATTAATACTATATAATTTAGCTGCGTCACATATTCAATTATTATAGTGGCATTACTTGTAAAACTATGTGGCTCTATGGCCTATTTAATTGACTAATTAAATACTATCAATAATATACAATATCTGAAACACATTTTATTATTAATTACATTACATTAATTAAACGTGAACTTACTCTATCATTCCGACAGGGGCGAGCTCCGTGCTTGTTCACTACACAGGTCACTACACAGGTTTACTAGAATTCCATTTCACACCTGGACCAAAATATAAGTGGTCCTTTATTATGGGGTCATAATAATCATTTAGACGGCTATAGCTAGTTAACATAATGTTTAATTGGTATTTAAGTTTACTACTTAAAATAGAATGGTCTCTAACATAGCCAATACTTTCCCAATATTCATTATACAGGTTGACCGATGCTAAATATGGCAGGGAGAAGTAATTGGCTCAATAAAGCTTATTTTTAGATATAAAGTTATTAAAAATAGGGAGCTTCTTTGAAACAACCATGGGACAATATTTCCTTATTATAAAACATATGCAACACCCCAATTCATACCTGGTTCTCTTCTAAATCCTGGTATCAACATGTTACTCCCAGCATGGCTGCCAGTTTCTTGCACACAGAGGTAGAAAGCATGCAGGTGAGGGATACAGTTGAGGTGGCAGTCACATGACCAACAGGTACTTTACATAGGTCACAGGTCACAGGACAGGTAAACATACACAGAAGCACATGGTAATGTTGACATCTGAACACATGGACAATGTTACATACATGACAGCACCATACACCACTATACCATACAACCCATGACATAATTACTTTAAAAAATTACTGTCACACTTGATATACTATACACATTATGGACATTACCTAATGGTTGGAGTTATATATTTTGTATGTATTTCTGTAAAAACCATGTAGTTAAAACTGTGAAACACCAGACAGGCTGTCTCCGCCACATGTGTAATTCGTACTGATTTTGTCCATAAGAAAGAAATGCATATGTAACAAAGACGGTTTCGTTCTTCATGAACATTTATTTCATTTCCTTTTAGCATATTTAAGACATTCAAGACCCTACAGGGAATCAATACAAACTAATTACATTCTAGTTAAAAAGTGTTACAACATATATGGACAATACATATGCTTTACATTTATCTAAATTACTCGAAAGCTTGAAACATAAGTTAACATTTACTTTATAATGAAAGATACATTTCATTATACAGATACCAAAATACATTACATTTATTCAATACTTAATGAATTTTACACGAAGTACATTATCTATATACCTACCTACCCCAACAATGGGTCAAGGGTCTAAAGATGAAATATCGGTAAGAGTCGTCAATATACTGTAGTTGACTAGCTTGGTAACAACTGAAATACAATGAAATCTGTATATACTTAAGATATTAAAATTAACATCAAATAATGTACTCATCAAAATGATCGATGACGGAAAAGAGATCATTTATCCAAATCGATATTATTCTAACTTACATATATAGATATTACAGTAAGAATAATAATGCCTATAGTTAAATTAATAAATACATGCCACACTTCTCCCCCCTTTTTAAATGTGTTCGCCCTCGAACACCACAACCCAGGTTCTAACTCCCTGTCACCACAGAGAGGGCCACGGACACCATATGTAACAGGAAAGAGAATAGTGTGCTTCCGCCGGGGATCGAACGCTCGATCGCGGTCTGTTTTGAATCAGTCGAGCTGGTAGAGATCCTGAGTGTACCAAGCGAACTCTCGTGAAAAGTAGGGCAATTTTTGTATAGGACCTTAAATGACACTCTATCTAGTTTAATGTAGTATTAATATATTTCCAATTCATATTTATAACCTTCGGTGAACCGTGAAGTCGGGCTCGGAGGAAAATAAGTCACAAATACTAATTTAGGGAGTATTTGAATATATTTCGATAACTTGTGTGAGCCACGTAATGCGTAGTCACAAGAAAGTAATTGTGTTTAAGGCCTCGATAAATCGGGTTCGACGATTTACAGGAACGGGCAGGAACGGGCAGAAATGGGCAGAAACGGGCAGGAACGGGCAAAACGGACAGAAACGGGCAGGAACGGGCAGCAATCTATTAATAATTATATACATCAATGAATATATATATTAGATACATTTAAGTATCATTATCGGGTATAAGATCTATTTGATAAAAGGATTGCAATTACATGATCGGGGCAGAATCGGACTAAATTATATATATACATTTATGACGATATTACTTA